GCAAATCACTCTCCAAAGCCATGCCTCTTGCGAAATTTGATTTCCCTCAAATATTTCTGGGTATATACAAAAACATATACTGTATTAGTTATCAATTTCAAAACTGAAATTGACATATCAAGCCAATACCTGACATTGGGAATAATATGCACTGGATGTTAAAATTCCATTCAAATTTATTAGAATGACATCATAATATACAGTAAACATCAAATACAAGTAATCAAAGTCCTTTTTTAAACTTAAGTACATTTTTAATGATTTTGCAGAAATATTTACATTTACAACTAGAGCATTAAATTGTAAATTTAGTAAAGGAAGAGTCTAAAAAAATCTTTAAAAAAGTTCCTCTAAACAATATAATTCAGACTTGTGCATTATATTCTTTAAGTGTGTTTTAAAGACTTACTTTACTTTAGAGGGACACTGAAGATTACTGTCTTTTACATTGATTATTTGTGTTGGCCATAAAGTTACTCTCCTGATGAAACACCTCTTCACCTTCTCTCTTTCTCCAGCTTGATTTGCTCTCACTTTCCAGCCCCATGCTCTTCAGTTTTTCACTTATCTGGAAGACCAGCAAAAAAATAAAAAATGTTACACTCTAGACCTCAGTGTCCATCTATAGCCCAAAACAGCAGCAGCAACAACAACAATGTTGATGATGATATGAGTGGTGTTGGATGGCTGTAATGTATTTCAAGACACTGTAGAAAACAAAATAGCAAAGAGGAAAAGGTTGGAGGAATATCACTGGAAAAGGAATGACACAAGAGCTAGAACCCGTGATTATATCGGGGCTTTCCAGCACTAAAGAGACGTTAGAGAGCAGGACGCCCTGAAAATGGACGCTAAGGGTGATTTGTTTCTGCTCGACACTCGGTTTTGCTATGTTTCACAGAACCAAGATATGCTGTTATTCAATCTGCCAACTGTTATTTGTTGCCTGTGTTGGATAGTGTGTTCATGAATTTGTGGGCAGAGCAATGAAGGGAGGGGTGTGTTTGTTTGGTTGTTGATTTCAAATATCAATAATGTATCTCAGAAATCCCTTACTACATCTTTAAGGCAGATACAAACCTCATTGAGAATGGCCGTCTGTAGTGAAGGATCATTCAGTGTGCATTCATTACAGGACAATTTCAGTCTGACAATCTGCTTTCTATTCAACTTGTCTAGAGAAATACAAAGTTAATCTTATCCTCAGCATCCTCAAGATA